ACGCTTGGCGCCATCGTAAATCCGAAGTTCATAGACTTCTGTAAAAAAAAGGAAATAATTTTCAGGTTTTCAGAGATGTCAGGCCTTTCTGACATTCGAGACATTCATTCTCCATGCTCATTAATACCTTTACGACGGGTGATATCTCATTTTCAATGGTGAATTTCTATGAACCTCATGAGTCGCCGTTCTACACTTATGGGTCGGGAGCCTGTCGCAAGCTCGTCACGATCCCTGTGTGTGCTTGATGAACCTAGCAATGTATCTGAACTTCAACGAAGCATCTCGTCGGTGAAACTCGCCCGCATTATCAACTTTGTGCCAATTTGTTCAGACAAATGGCTGGAGAGTCTCGCTCTTTCCAAAATGAGAGAGCGATCGTTGGTCGAGAAAATGTCTGCGGCACTCAGGGAATGCACTACATGAGCAGTAACAGAAAAAAGAGGTTTCACCAGTCAAAATTCAATGATAACTCTATCTTTTTAACCATTCCCCTTCGCCGTTATAGTTATGATTGCTTCTCCCAGCAGATGCCAGCAGCAAAATTGAACGAAGCGAGAGAATGCTAATGAACGGAAAATTTGTACCAATTGAATCACTACCATTCAGGACGTGGCCCCAGGCGAAGATGCACTGGGATTGCTTTCGATTCCCCTTAGATTCACTCATGAATGATCAATGTAACTAAGCTACTTCAACATGGAACGAAATTCTCAAAAACTTCTGTGTGACTCCTTACAGATTTGAAGAAGAAACAAATTTGCTCCCCAAAAAAGAAAACACGAGTAATTCTACGACCTCAACACACAACCAAACTTTTAGAAGCAGCATAGCAAAGAATTTGGTCCCTAGCCCCTACATTGTTGGCCTTCCATCCCTGGTTCCCTATGAGGTTGCACTACTGCCGCATAAAATTTTCGTAACACGATGAAGTTATAGACCGTAGGATCGCAGTTGATTGAGCCTCGAAGTAACCTTCACGTCATACATGGATTTTCCACATTTTCCATCAATGTTTAAATTTCCCCCTTGGAACTTTCTGTTCCCACACAATCAGACACTGTTGGGCAGGTGATGAAAAGACGATTCCAAGTGGTATCAGGCCCTTAATACATCTATTGCACTGCAACACGTGCCAGTGATTCCCTCAATCAACACCATGTACCAGCTGTTAGAAAGGCTCTACCTCACGATGCGTATGACAGGAGATATTACTCCTAGCTAGCGATGTTTGCACAACGAATTAGTCAAAAAAAAGGGGGTTTTTCAAAATCTACATCGGGACCAAGTTAAATTTGGAGCTGCACTACTAGCCATATTAGGTAATAAGCCGAGTGATATGTAGGGGGATTCTAAGAGGAGCGCCTAATTAAATACATCAAACGACCCAATGCGACTACAAGACTGCAGTATTATCCTTATCCAGAGGAACACGAAATGGTATGTGGAATTTCGAGCTTGCTGTTTTCGACCCAGGGCAAGACCTGAGACCTAAGGAGCTCTCAAACACCATGAGAGCTTACCCTCTGAAGATCTAGATTTCATTGGTTTTGACTAATGGATGGATGTTAAGCCGTTTGGCAAGAGCTCTTAATTAGTACTGTGAAGAACTATTATAAGAACATTAGCTTCATCGTTGAACACAAATGTTGTAAATACAAACAATTATGCCGAGGTGGGAGCAAGAGAGAAGTTGGAGATACCTTCACGACCCATCAGGGAAATTGCTGTAGAGCAAGAAAATGAAACACTTGAAGATAGAGACTATGAGATTTCCTCCCGAAGCCTGATGACTTCAGAATACGAAGGAAGAGTAAGTACAGAACTATCAGAACTAAGTGAGTATGCGGTACTGATCTGCTAATAACCTCTTTAAAGATCGGCTTCTGAGATGGTGAGGAACCGAAGAGTGTACCAAGTACTAAATAAAAAGAAAACATGGAAAACCAACCTTCTGATATTACGAATGTCAATAGGAACAGAGTGGCCAGGAGTCGTTCCATAGTAAGTCCGCTAGATATCTGCTCAACGTCCGTCATGAACACTCAACAAATGAGTAGCAACCATTCCAGTAAAGCTGGACAATCTGGAAAGGGATGAGATCGTCTTTATTCTGGTCTCAATAGCAAAAAAGGTGTATGAATTGCGTCAGCATAAGGTAATTACTTGAGATTCAACGCCGATCCACGAGGACAGTGAAATTAGAGTTTTTATACGTGGAAACATCCTTCATAGCTCGCGCAACGCAAATTTGTGAACTCTCAGGTGACCACGCACAGAAAAGACAGTGAGACATGAACCAGAACTCAGAACTTGTAGGAAAAGACAACAGACACAATCAAAAGCCCAGAAGCAATCCCGGTTGGTGGCTATTGTCTCCATATGGGTTGCGCGAAGAAATCCTCCATGTGCCCATAATCACAGGCCCCCAAACCTCACAGTCGGCCACGCCCACTCATGGGGCAAATGACAAGTACGCCGGTGAGTTACGACAACCCATTGAACCCACAGAAATAGCACTTGAAAGTCGTGAGGTTGAGAGTTTGAGGAATGAGCTGTCAGGCCCAATCTCAGTCAGAAACCGTTTATGTTTGCAGTATAATCTCACCAAGGCTGTTCTATATAGCAGTTCAGACTGCTTATTTCGTAGTCAGGGGCAAAAAGAGTAAAACCAATCAAAACTCCCTAGAATGGCTCGGTAGACATGGTCAATCGAATGATATTTTCGCGTTTTTCGGCAAATCCGAGCAAAAGTGATCTTGGTCACGGGCTCAGCTTAACTTTCGACTCTATGGATTATGCTTTTGAAGGTGGTGAAAGGATAGGGCAAATAGAAGCAATTTGGCAGAAGGAAAGGTGGAACTCGATGAAACACGCCCAAAGATGGAATTTGAAAAGCGGCCTGTCGAATTCGATTGACTTCTCAACGTTCAACGAAGCCACTCTCTCAGCTGATAGCATAACGGTAAAACTGTCTCATTGCTCGATCAATTAATAGGTATCGATCTGTTGTTATGTTTTTTTTCATTTTTCCAAAAACGTTTGCTAAAATAACCTATAGAAGACTTGCCCTCAATATATCGCTGTCAAGAAGAGGGGAGAGAAATTAAGAAAATGTCAAAAACGAAAAATGGGTGTTTCACGATAATGTAAAGACGTAAAAGTGGATGGTAAAGGAGCGGGAAAATTTTGATATTTGAGAGAGTTCCTGAAGGCACAGTTTACGATAACTCTGTGGTGTCTAATTTTAGATGAATGATGGAAGCGATAGCCCAGAATAGTGCAAAGGCGCGAAAAAATTGCGAAAACCGGCGAACCAAGAGAAACATAAGGCTCCAAAAAAGTAGTGAAATCAGAAGTTGGACGAGAATGTGCCGACAGAAGTTGCATGGAAAAGCTATTTGGACGGGCTGTCCAAGTGCGTGTGCCACTGCGTACAGCTGGCTACAATAAGCTGCCTGCGTGCAACTATGTATACGTGCTGATGGTATGATGCTACCTCTACAGCCTCTACGACGACCTTTACAATATTCTCGTTAAAGGCGCGAATCGAACCACGATAATTTCGGGTTATGTATTTAAGGGTCAGAAGTGGAAGTGATTGTCTAGAACAGTGCAAAAGTGGCGGAGAAAACGCGAAAATTGGTGCATTCTGAGAAATGTAAAGCCCTATAGCCTTCAAAATGAAGTAAATTTGGGGGTTAGACGAGAATGTGACGAGAAACATTGCATGAAAGGGATTTCTGGACGAAATGACTGAAATGTGTGTGGGGTACTGATTATAGCTGGCTTGCGTGCAATATGTGCGTCCCGATATGAATGGTGTACCTTCTACAGCCTCTACAACGCCGTGAGATCTCGTCCTCTTTGGGTGTGTAGGTGGCTAGGCCAATTTTTGGAGCCCTTATTACGCCCAATCTGAACCGTTTTTCGGATCAACACCATAGGCATCTTTCATAGTCCACGACCGGTCGCNGCGACCGGTCGTGGACTATGAAAGATGCCATACTTTGTGCTACAATAAGAGGTCATGTCCTTCTTAGGAGTTTCAGTAACCCTGTTCGAGAGGAGTATGGAGCTTGTTGAAGCTAAGGAGACAAACCGTTGAGCTGCACAAGAGCATCGACGAAATTTGAACGTCTTATATTGCTAAAATTTATGTCATAGGTAAGTAATACTAGTAGGCATTATAGTGCTTAATGCTCTGCTAAAACCAAGGTCACAAATACTACGTATAAAAAGGAAGCCTACAGAAAACAATGCAGAGCATACCGAGCCTCGAAACTCTCTTCAGAAATATAGTTGGATCTCGGCTAATCAACACTAAATGTGAGTGAAGAGCTGTGGCTACAGCTGCTTAATCCCTAGTAAAATCCTAGAAAGAAG